GGGCCCAGGCGGCGGCAGCCGGCGCCGCAGCTCGAGCGCGAGCCTCACCGGGGGCGCGGCGGCGGCAGGGGCGGGGCGCGGCCTGGCGGCGGCGGCTCCCTCCGCGGGCCGCGGCGGCGGGCCGGGCTCCGGGGAAGGCGCTGGGCGCCCGCGGCTGGCTCGGGCGGGCGGGAGAGCGGAGCCCAGGCGTCCCGAGCCCGCGCCGCCGCCGCCGCCGCCGCCCACCGCGGGCCTCCTGGGCGCCCCGGAGCTCGGGCCCCGCCGCCTCGGGCGTCGGCTGCTCGCCCCGCGCCGCGCCTCTCGGGGCCTCGCCCGGCTGGGCTCGCCTAGGCCTCGCCGCCCCTGGAGCCGTCCTGCTCGGCCGCGGGTTCCAGGCAGCCCCGGGCCGAGTGGCCTCTTCAGGGAGGGACACCCGCCCACCAGCCCTTCCAGGCCTCACTGACCCCGGGCAGCCCCTGGGCTCTTCCCACCGCCCCGCTGCCCTAACGCGGGCTCAGCCTGGCCTCCTTGACCCCGATCTCCCAGCGGCTCTCGGCCTCCCTGGTTTTGGGAAATGATTTACCCACACAGGCCGAGAGCTAGGTTTGGGAGGCCGGCCTCAAGGAAGCTCTAGAGCAAGAGGTTTAAGCAGGAGTCCTGCCCCTGCAGTACTTGGAGAAAGGTACAAGCCAGAGGATGGAATGGAGCTGGCTGAGGAGGGGGGCTCCAGAGCTGAACCTTCAGCTAGAGCGGCTGGAAGGAAAACCAGACCAGACCTTTCCCTGCTTAACCAAATSTGCCTACAAAGCCCCCGCCAGCAGCCCCAGGCAGAGGGGTGTGTCATTTCAAAGGGTGCTGGCCAGGAAGCTGGCTCATTTGGAGCAGAGGACCATGCAGGAGTGATCAGCATCAATTTGCTAATGCATTTAGTCTCATTTTCACACAYTCTAGGCTTTTCCAAAATAGCTTGATCCTAAAGAGAAGGATGCCAAGCAGAATTGGCTGTCGAGGAAAACATCCTGTGGGGAAGCCACTCAAGTGCACACATTCCAAGCATCTGTATCACTCAGAAATGCCGCTGGCTCAGATGGTTTTATAGCAAGTTCTATCACACCATCAAGGGACAGTCAACCCTTGTGTTATTTAAACTGTTAACCAGGGGAGGAGGGGGGGAGAATGAAAAAAGACAATTTTTTTTTTCATTTTCCAGGTTTAGCATAAACGTCATACTAAAATTCAATAAGGATAATACCAAAAAGGAGAACTTCTGATAAGTTTAGAATAATACTCCCTGGAGAATTTAATGTGTGCTTATTGAAAAGGGGCTTCTGTATTCTAATAACTTAAAAAAGTACTGCATGCCACTTGTAGTTTACTTTTTAGAGAATCACAGTGTTAGTATATTGAGGTCTCAGTGAAAGTCTAGGAGTAAAGAACTCTRTTTGGTTTGTTTAACCTGGCATTTTCCCAATTCATCTGGGCCAGGACCACCATTCCAAAGCTCATTGATTAGTCTCTAATATGTGAATCGACACACTTAGGCATATAATAGTTGCAACATGATTAAATAAAATTTTATCAATTTGAATTCAGTTGAYTTGAAAAACAAGTCAAAATCCACCATGATCAATCCATATATATTCAGAAATGGAAAGATAAAATTCAATATTAAGGAATCTGTGAATATATTGTCTTGTTAAAAGTAAATAAGTCATGAATTAGTACCAACAGAATAGATACTTTAAAAGTATTTGTTAAGTCTCAACATCAATGACTTATAAATTTTTAAAAATAGTAAACTAGGAGGAAAATTTAAACTTCTTATGACAAAGTTTTGTACCAGAAGCCAGCAACAACACTAAATACCAGTGATTTAGAAAGTAWGATAGAAAACAAGTATAATGGTGAAATATTAAAAGTATTCTCAGTTGAGGGGCTGGGGTAGTGGCTCAGCAGAGAAATGTTCGCCTAGTACTTTCGAAGCCCTGGGTTCACTCCTCAGCACCACATAAAATAACAAATAAAATAAAGGTATTGTGTTCAATTATAACTAAAAAAATATTAAAAGAAAAATATTCTCAGTTGAATCAGAAACAAAATAAGGATGCCTGCTATAATTGTTACAACTTAAAGCCAATGCAATAAGATAAGAAAAATAAATAATAGGTATGAATACTGGGAAGGAAGAGAACACTTTCATTATTTGCTCATGATTTAAGTGTTTCTCTAAGAATAAAAATCAAGAGAATCCAACTAAAAATATTACAGACTTAGGTAAGAATAACAGCAAAATCAATGTCTTTCCTAAATGTTATGGGGGAAGCTTTCTTTTCCAAATAGAGGAACTTACATTAGAATTTGACTCCTGGCCTTCTCACCTTCTGGGAGGATGAGTGAGTTTAGAAGAAGTGATTAATGAGTTTAGGAGAAGGAATTGGAGARCAGAGAATTCTGAGTTCCCTTTGTGAATCTGGATTTGGCTGACTGCAGAAAGCAAATATTTTTATGTTCTTTCACTATTCAGTAACTGGACCTGTTTCTGAGAAAGAGAGATACTATTGACCTGTAATTCCTGCAACTATAAGACTAAATCTATCTACTTCAAGGAGGAATATGCTAAACCTACTTAGCTAAAGATCAAAAGCTACACTTTTAATCATACTTATCAATAATACAGGTAATATTTTTATGTCCTATCCTCTCTTCTATCTATGCTTCAGTTYGTTCTAAACTCAGAAGGGAGAGAGGCATTACTTGTAGGATTCCCCCCATGTATGACACTAAAGACTAGGGATTGCCATTTAGGAAGTGTGATGCAAAAAAATATATTCACATTAACAATAAATATTCCAAGTCATGTGTTAAACATGTGCTTAACAAGAAATGATAAAGTACATTAGAAAACTATAAAGTCTTATTGAAGGGCATAAAAAGAAAATGTTTTTAAGTGGAAAATTGAATAGAACGTCTTGAATAGAACGTCTCGACATTAAAAAAAATCATATATGCCCAAATCAATTCATAAATTTATAAATCCACATCAAAGGATCAATGTGATTTGGGGGTGAAGAGTGAGCTAAAACATGGCAAAATTACTTTAAAGCTTGTTTGATAAGTAAACATGGGGAAATACCCAAAAATGTTGAAATAGAAAAAATGAGGGAATATTTCTCTAACAGATATTAAAATATAAAATGAAACTTCAGGGGCTGGGGATGTGGCTCAAGCGGTAGCGAGCTTGCCTGGCATGCGTGCGGCCCGGGTTCGATCCTCAGCACCACATACCAACAAAGATGTTGTGTCCGCCGATAAAATTAAAAAATAAATAAATAAATATTAAAATTCTCTCTCTCTCTCCTCTCTCTCTCCCTCTCTCACTCTCTCTTTAAAAAAAAATGAAACTTCAGTAAATAAAATTATGGGCCACAAATGTAGAAATATGCACTTTCATCCCATGTTAAATTCCATTTATAAATGTTTTATCTTTATACATTGGTCAGTTTGTATATTCCAATACGAATAAAATAAACAAACTTGTACATTCCTGGATACCCTTACTTGTTGCTTTCGTATGACTCTCCAGGAAATGAAATGGAACTTAAATGCTCCAGCATGCCCCACAGGGCCTGGTGTTGTCTGGACCCAGCCTGCCCCATCCTTTCCTTTTAGCTCGTTAAGTATCAAAGCTCTTTCTTCCCTGGGTGGTTTGCCTATGCACTTAGTCTATACAAGGCCTGGACTATTCTCATCTTTAAACTCTCAGCTTGAATATCACTCCTCGGAGGSCTTCCCTGGTTGCTTATCCTTATTTATAAATGCAATGTTGTTTCCACATTGCATTTATGCACTTCCTGCTTATCACTGATCACCATTTGCAACTATCCATCATTTACCTCTTCAACTGTGAGTCTTTCCACCAGACCCAAAGCTCCACCCCAGGCAGGGGACATATTTGTTTGGTTCATCAAGCATATTTATGCCACACACACTAGCCCCTCAATCAACATTCTCATAGAGGGGTCAACGTTTAACAATGTGCAACATTAAAGATATGCATTTAATATGTGCACACAGATGTATGTATGTTCAAAAATAATTATTTCAACATTGCTTACTATGAGAAAATATTGGACATACCCTTAATGTCTAGTAATAGAAGACTGAGTCAATAAAAAGAAAAGGCATACTAACATAGAAATACGCCATGGTATCTTGTTAAGTAAAAAGCAGGTTATAGGACAGAATGCATTTATTATATGAACCCATCTATTGCATATGTGTGTGTGCTAATTTATAATGCATAAATGCTTGCAAATATGTACACTAACTTGTTCTAGTTGTAGAAGGACATAATACCTTTATTGTATTTGTTTATTTTTTAATGTGGTGCTGAGGATTGAACCTAGTGCTTCACACGTGCTACGCAAGCACTCTACCAATGAGCCACAACTCCAGCTCCCCAATGTTAACTTTTAACCATGGCTATGTCTTGGGGATGGTTTACACAGAAACTACCATTTCTTATTCTAGCATATTCATATCACTTAGAAATAAGGATGCAAATAACAGAAAACCCAACAGACAGTAGCTTGAACACTAGGCGTCTATTTTATTAGTCAGAAGTCATTGACTTTCAGTCTTCTTGTAAAGGGAATGAAGCCATTAAGAACCCATGTCCTTCCATTGCTCTCTGGCATACTCAACATTGTGACTTTTATCCTCACACGTGTTGCCTCACAGGCACAGGAGTGCTCTCTGGGCTTCAGATATCAATGGTCTTTTTTTTTTCAAGCAGGGGATAGGGAGCAAAAACTTTCTCAGAAACCCTCCAGCAGACCTGCTAAGAGTTTATTGGCCAGAAATGGTCACATGGCCACTCCTTGCTGCA